GATCACCTTCCGACGGCATCTGAGGGTAACTTGTAGATGGCGGGGGTTAGGTGACCATGGCATGCAAGGCACGATGAAATTCGACCTGTCAGGTTACCATCTGACCAGTAGCGCAAGCAGGGGGGGCACAGGGGGCGCGTGCCCCCCCCCCCCCCCCCAGGTTCCGAGGGGCCCTTCAGACCCCTTGGGACACAAGATGATTGCCCCGGAAGGCGGCCAGAGACCGCATTACGGGGTCCCAGCCCGCAGGGCCGGGCACTTTAACACCAGCCAGAGGGCCGCGCGCGCTGATCAGAGGCCCCTGCGTCGATAAGGGCCTATATGTCAATAAGACACCACCAGTAACGCACAGTCTGATCCGTGGTGGCATGTGCCTGATGGCCCATTTTCCATGCAGGAACAAGGCCGGAGCCAGCGATTTACATTGGTCGGGACCGCAGCGTCCGTCAGCGCCCTACAGCGTCCGTCAGCGCCCTGCAGCGTCCGTCAGCGCCCTGCAGCGTCCGTCAGCGCCCTACAGCGTCCGTCAGCGCCCTGCAGCGACCGTCAGCGCCCTGCAGCGTCCGTCAGCGCCCTGCAGCGTCCGTCAGCGCCCTGCAGCGTCCGTCAGCGCCCTGCAGCGTCCGTCAGCGCCCTACAGCGCCTAACTGGGGGCGCTGTGTTGACACGGGTTTCGAGTCGGCCAGAGGCAGCGTTCGAGGAGCCCCGGGGAGCCCAGAGAGCCCACCGAGTTTGACGATCAAGAGCCTGATTGAAGAGTCAAAGGGCACGAAGGAGGGCTAGACGGAGTCTTATTCAGGGGCTTGGCCTCCGGGAACTGACCCTCAAATGGCAGTCAGAGGACCCTCTGTGCTGCACAGGGACCGCTGAGACGATATGGGCCTATATGTCGGCCAGGCACCATCAGTACCTCACAATTATGGTTATGGGCCCGATACCCTCATTTCCCAATCAGCTATAAAGCCGGGGCCAGTGATTTGTACCGGTCGGATTTGCCCCTGTCTTTGTTGGGGGTCCACAGTGCGAACCAGAGGATCATATGCTTGCAAAGGGCCCCGAGCCGACCAAGGGCCATGTTCGAGGAGGCCCGAAGAAGGGCCCGGGTGGTCCACCAGAACTGACGATCAAAGGTCCGGTTGGATGACATAAGGGCCTGAAGGACTAGCTGTAGGTCACATTAGTCGCGGCGAGTAGGATCGGACCTGAAAAAGCAGGCAGAGGTCCTCCTGCACCGTTTGAGAAACCCCTGAGACAACGCAGGTGTTTAAGTCGGCAAGAGACCACGAACACAGTACAACTGGCTCCCTGTGAATCTGAACCCTGGGGATCCATTTTCCCTGCAGACGCAAGGCCGGTGGCCAAGATTTGCATTGGTCACGGTCCCTGAAAAAAAATAAACGGGGGCCCCTGTGTCGGTCAGGGACCCACAGTGTCTAACAGGGGGTCATATGTCGGCTAGTGGCCCCAAGTCGGATACGGGCCCTGTTTGAGGAGGGGCCGAAGGGCCCCTCGGGATCAAAGATCAAAGGTCTGATTGGACTTGGACCCGGCCTCCCACCAATGCCGTGATCTGAAATATCAGAAAGATTTTATGGCCATCTTTTTTAGGGTATCTATCCCTATTTATAGGACCTCGACACAGAGCCAAACAGTCGATTCCATGTCTGTCTATGCCCTTGAGACCCATTTACCAGGCAGGAACAAGGCCGGGAAAGCGAACTCGAGGGGGCCCGAACGGGGGCCGAGGGATCTCTCAAGACCAAAGATCAAGTGCCCGGTTGCAATGCTGAAGGGCCCGAGGGGCTGACTGAAGGGCACATTGAGGACCCGTGGAGCCGTGATCTCAAGTGTCAGTTAAAGGGCCTTTTGCACCAGTTAAGGACCCCTGAAAGAGAGCATTCCTCTATTTTGGCTGGCGACCACCAACACCAAACAGTCGGCTCCGCGTCGGTCTGAGCTCTGAGGGCCCACTTCCCAAGCAAAAACAAACCCGGGCAAGCCATTAACTTTGGTCAGGTCCCGTGCAACAATACTGTATCCTGTATCGTTTAGGGGCCAACAGTGCCTAACAGCGTTTTCTGTGTCAATGAGGGACCTGGAGTCCGTCAAGGGAGGATTCGCTCACCGGGGACGAGGACGGAACCCCGAAGGACGGAGGACCTCTTGCGTTGGTTGGGGCCCTCGGACAACGAACGGAAACCTAAGAACTTATGATGAGTGTTTACAGTAAGGCAATCGAACGGTTCTCTGCTAGGCAGGGTCCCAATACCGGACGGTAGGCACTCCAACCCAACTGCAGCATGGGCCAGTTAAGCCGAATTGAAGTCTATATCCTGGCCATTTGATTACCTGAAACGATCAGGAATACTGTTGTGTCAACGGTGGTCCCTGCGTCGGTCCGAAGTGAGCCGCGCGGGCGAGAAGGCCTCCCGCGTCAGCCAGGAGACTAGTGTGATATGATGTATCCCTCTAAGGGCCTCCGGGGGGCCCTTTACCGGAAAGAAATAGGGGATATCATAAGTGTTGAATTGAATGGGTTGAAATGAGTTGAAAACGAAAGGCTATCCCATGTTTGTCTGAGGATGTTCATTTTTTGCAGGAGCGACTAACCAAATAAGCTACATCAAAAGATTTGAGCCTGCGCGCCTGCAATCTCAGAAGCCATGACAGCGATGGAAACCAAACGCCGCTGGCCACTGCAAACAACATCGCCGGCGGACGCCGCGCGCGCCAAAACGACCGCCATAAAATAATGGTTTGAAATGGCTTCCAAAATTTATTCGTACCGTTCAAAGAGAACACGGGACTTATCTTTTTTATATCTTTCAGTTTGTTCTCTGTATGGATACAGTTACATCAACACGAACGATAGAGTTTCCACCTTTTCTCTGCTAGTTCCACCACCAGATTCCAGCCCAACTTCGCGGTGCTGTGAAAGCGAATACGTTCTTGTCATCAATAAAAAAATTGCACAGGTAAAACATACGACCGGACTACCTTCTAAATGTACGATTTTATGTCATTAATTGTTCTGCGGTATTTTTTCAGGTGCGGTGTCATTTTCGTCCGCCCATTGGCCATGACTTAATATTGAACGCTGGATTGACACCGTGCGGTGTCAGGAGACTGCAACGCCTGGGGTCAAGGTATCTGTTGTTAAGATTTACGAGCATGTGTGCTCAAAATTAAGATGCACGATGAATACCACTAATTGATTCTGGCTGAATGTTGGGCATTGCCAGGCAAACATGGCTTGGCATTTATACAAACTGTTGACCCATTTCTATCTACGATCTACATTTGCGGGGTTCTCAATGTCTCTGAACAACACATATGCTTTGAGAAAGCCGCCGAGCTTTGCCAGCTTGGAAAGAATCTCCTGCACCATTGTACAATGAGGAGCTCCGACGATTAATTTCATGCGGTCGTTTAACGCACGACTACATCTGTTTGGTGACAGTGAAACTCAGGCAGAATTGGTCTCGCGGTAGCTTCTAGTGTTTATTCCAGCTATACAAGGTAAAGACGAAAACTATCGAAGAAAAACATGCATATGATAGCAAACGATAATGACAATTGGCTTCAATAGCAATTGGCTCCGGCTGCGCGGCTGCATCTGACTGAGAGAAAATCATTTACATTAACCATTTAACTGTTGAGCACTAAAAGCTAATCCACCAGGATTGGTGAAAGAACGGTGTTTAACCGCGCGGGATGCAATTTGACGCGATACTGTCGATACAAGGGCTTTCCCCTTGCCGGGCGGAAGCTATGTTCACTAGCGTCATTTGTGAGTGGTATTAGGCATTCCACACCATTCGGCTCCTGCTTGACCTAGCACCACGAAACAACGGATGGTGGATTGCCTCTTTTCGGAAGGATCTGACGATGTTCGGCTTGTTTCCGTAAGATAACCGAGAGCCTTCCATGTCAAGTCAATCAGACATGGCAACCGGATTTCTTGAGGAGATATGAATAAACGCCATTTATTTTTAACTTGTTGATCTCCACACAGCATCATAAAAAGGCTGTCCTCACACTCCTCCTCCCTACCCCACCATCTCTACCACCGTAATACTTGAAAAACAACGGCATTCACAACATACAGCCCTCCGGAGTGAATGACACCTTTTCCATGCAAATATGCATCAAACTGCATTCGTGATTAGAGGCGGAAAAGGACGCTATTTAGGACTGATCAAAAGCCAAGCATGGTCAAATGTAATTTACCGCGTTTGACCTTGAAGGGATCGATGGTCTGTCCAGAGAGACTAACGAGCTTAAGCAATACGGTTCGATGATTATACCGATTTTGTTAAGTCATGACCCATAACTAGCAAACTATCATTAGTCATCAAAGCGACTTGAAGAAGCTTCAGAGATGGTGTTATAGCTCAGTGACCTAATATAACACAAGATCGAATCGTTGCAGAGCATTCGCAACGCCTTTTACCCCAGCTACGCCTAATTTTACGCCACCATCGGCTGCACTTTATGGTCTCTTATACCCAGATCGCGGAGCTCCATCCCCCTGGCTCTGGTCTGGTGAAGTTTCTATCCGCCCTTTTCTTGCTGCTACAACCGGGTTCAAATGTCGTACTCATTTTAATGAAGATACGTAGGTAGATATCGAGTTGAGCTATGAGCCCGGATATTTCTTTTGTGGGGTAGCAGCTAAATTCCAGGTAGTTAGAACACGTCGCAGATCGCAGGCTGCCAATGTCGTTAGTCTAGTTAAAGGCATGATATTGTAAATTGATCCCCATCGTTATCAGCGTATATATGGGATCATGCCTACTTATATATATAATATATAATGTATATATATATATATATATATATATATATATATTATATATATATATATGTGTGTGTGTGTGTGTGTGTGTGTGTGTGTGTGTGTGTGTGGTGTGTGTGTGTGTGTGTGTGTGTGTGTGTGTGCGTGTGTGTGTGTATGTTCGAGGTTTAAAACTTATAGATATGCACGCGCAAACACTTACCGGTTTTTTAAGCACTGCTGCGCATCTTGTCACGAACGCAGTCACGGCAAGTATTACGAAGAGTCGAAGTATCCACTTCATCTCGCAGCAAATTCCAAAGATGAGCCCAGCAGCCTGGTTTAGCAAATCGATAAACGTGATGCTGACAAGAAGGGGGCCGAGCAACACAGACAGGATGGGATCACTCAAATTAACAGACTTAGCTATTGGCTGGCCCATAAAGATGCCGCTTAAAACAGAGACGTCTGCAAACATTACTGCGACGCAGCACGTGGCCGACAGAGACATGCAAATGTTTTGGCAGATGGGCATGATTTTTAGGTTAGAGTCTCAGGGTCCGAACCGTTTAACTGTGTGCTCATTTGTACTTTTTCAAACGCTAGGTGTCTGCGATTGCAATTGTTGGGGTTTTCAATAAGCCCCCAATTTTGATGACACGAAATAACCGATTAATTATGGATAAAAACAAACTGAACCCAAATTATCCAATGCCGCAAATGCCGCATCGCAAAGGCTCTGATTTCAGTAAAGTTGCATCGGGCATGAAACGTGACGTGACGACGTAAGCGTCTTTCACTCTCCTTCCAGAAGATAACAGCTGTAACAAATAGCTGCGAATGGTGTCAAAAACAGTGCAGCAATTTGCACGCCTGAACGAAGTCTGCACCAAAGCCATGTAGTGAAATGCATAGAATGCAGGATGCCGCAGACCATTATCCTATATTGGTGTTCACTCTTTAATGCGATATAATTTTCAAGTGTTCATGGTTTCACATTCCCCATCAAAGACGATGTGCATGCAAAATTGCATTACTCCACAGCACAGAGCAAAAGCCGAGTAACCAGTGCAACGCAATACAATGATCACAGTCGACAAACGAGTGGTGCATGGTGGGAAAGTTCAGGCCATCTGTGCAAAACAAGAAATGAGATAAATGAGGAACGCCTATAAATATCGTATTTGCCTCAAGCGGATGGAATTTCTGATTCCGTCATAAAAAGTGGCAAGAAAACAAAATGGTGGCACAGTCTGAAAAGCGTGTGAGTACACCTGCGTGATTTTGCAAGGTATGTTAGGCATGATTGGTTTCAGTTAACAAGTACCTAAAGTTCTCATAAAACCCAGTGTGACGCAATGCCTTGTCCAAACATTCTCGCATTTGCACAATGAAGACCATATATGCATTTCTTTGACTTTAGCTCATTTCTCAGCATTGCTTCAGTCCACAAAGTGCACAATCGCATGATGCACATTGCAAATTGTAATAAATTACAATGCATACTTATATGCTGCATATCGTGCAGCGATGTGCAGCGACACACGCACCTAAATTTCGCAAACGCATGCAGATCTGGACGCGAGGGCATCCACACAAGCTGGATGCGTCCGTTGTGATCTCACTGTTCACAAGCTCATCGGGGCCTAAATGCTGGTGACTTGTCAGCAGTAGTCGGCCGAATGCCTCCACACGTGTTCGATGCTCAGAGCTCTAACGACGGTGATCCCTGTCACCTGTAGCAGCGTGCCACAACGTGCATCGCCTGCTACTGTTTCCACCTCTCAAGAGTCCTGGTTGCATGTCGCCGAAACCTGACAGCGCCACCCGCGGCGGCGCTCACGGACACAGCTTCGCCATACGACGGCAGATGTCCCCAGTGCTGCCTACAACAAGCGCTATACGAACATGCGGGGCTTCTTTCTCCTCTGCTGCCGTGGTCGCCCTCTGCGCCTGGCCGGCTGCCTTCCTCCTGTAACAGATGCAGGTGGGGTGTTACGTGGCTTGAATTATGGCCGCATGCAATCGTTGCAAATAACGGTTGCGTTTCCATCAGCATACTCCGTCTCCAATTTTAATGTTTAATGCGAAAGCAGGAATGTTTTCAGCTCGCGAATCGATACCCGCAGTCAAACATCAGCGTCAACGAAATCTGATGCAGTAAACAGAGATCGAGCAAGCAATGAATCGTGCACCAGAAAGTGCACGGAGCAGCCTTCGCTGCAAAGCGGGTTAATTGGTGTCAAGCCCTAACGCGCGGATTTTACTGATTGCGTCCGAGGGCATTGTTAAGTCTCTTTTGGTTTTAAATAATACAAATATAGTTCATTAGTACGATATATGTACACAAAATGATGCTAAGTACACGTTAATAGTGATCTTAACAGCCGTAATGCACGTACGATCACGAGGCCCAGTCCGCGTGTCTCCGTTCCAGCGTTAGCTATGCGTGCACATGGGCCGCTCAAACGTGACCAAGATGTCTGGCGTAGTGGATTGCAGTCTTTACGGGCTATGAAAAACGCGAGAACCAGCCACCCAAAACGCTCTGCGCTTAAAAGGAATGTTTCACATTTGAATATATTGAAGAAAGCATCGGATATGATGACACAAACCTCAGTGATAGCCATCGGTACACTTTTTCAGTGAAAAAGACTGCTCTAGATAACCGAATTCTCCGTGTAGTAAATATGCTTCTCAATGCGCCATGATTTGATTACGCTATCGTACTTCACGCAACATTGATTGATACTCAAATGACGACCGTCATATCTGGAAATCGTGCCCACGAACGCCAGATATGAACGCCTTGATCATTATTTTTATATTGGTCTCGATCGCCGCATGGCTTATGGAATGGTAGAATTTGAATGACGCAATTATGACATCACGCATGCCAAGGTGACGTTGAAATACTCTCCCCGATATACCTTTCACCATTGTTGCTGGCGTGTAGCTCGGAAACTAGAGGTTTAGGTGGTAAGAAGGCCAGGATTGTGAACAGCACCGAAAGGTCTTCAAAATGCCGATTTCACTTCAAGGCCCCCCATGTAAAGCGGAACACTCCCTTTAACACCAAAGAACACCGAGTGAAATGAGCTGGAGGAGTTAGGTACTAAGGGAGCATCATATTCCCATCAAACACCTTTGGAGCGCCATGAGGCGTTCGTTCACAGCTGATACCCAGACAATCTCCTAGATCCTAGCGTCGCATGCTGAACTGTCGTGCTGGCGAAAACAAGACTTAAAAGAGTTGGTCAACGAAGAAGAACGATGAAGACCAGATCACCCGATGGCAAAATCGACCTTTATGTTATAACATTGATCTCTTTTATGGTATCTAACTTCTAAGGTATCTACCTCCATTTTATGCCATCAACCTCTATTGTACCACATGCATCTCTATTTTATTGTATCGATCTCTATTTTTAAACAAGCAAATGACCCACGCAAAGCAGTCATCTGTCACCGCTTGCTGACTACCAAAGCAACCTCAGGCCATGGTTCCAGCCCACGTCATAGCTTATGAACGCTGTGAAGTCGTGCTGCTGTGATACCCACCGACCGCAAACAAACCAAACCGACGGAATTAGTGCGAAAAGACTCGATCGCTGCCCATGCAGTGTCAGCGCCGCCTCCAGGCAATCCCCGCATGCGAGGCCACCACCTCAGCTACATCACGAGCGGAGCCGCAGACCAGGGGGCGCCACCGTAGCCCGGCCCTGCAGGGGGCGGCACGACGGCTGCGCCCCGCGCCCGGTCCGCAGCCCCGCCCGGCCGGTCGCCATCTACTCACATGCCTGCTTACGCCGCGTCCGGCCGCGGTGGCGGCGGCGGCCCCGCCTGCCCCGCTTACGTTTGTTGCAGCGGCGGCCGAGCCAGCCGCGCCTGCACTCACAGCGCGACGCCACGCACAGACCGTGCCTGCAGCGGCGGCACCGCTGGCGCGCCACCACCTCACAGTGGTGGCCGGTGTAGCCCGAGCGGCAGCGGCACTGGTTCACGCCCCGGCACCGGCCGCCGTTCTGACACGGGATCAGACACTTGCCTGCCAGCGGACCACGACGTCAGCGCCGGCTGGGGTCACGAGGTCACGAGGTCGGTCAGGGTCGAGCGAAGCGCGATGTCAGGGTCGTCAGGCCGCAAGGTTCACGGGCGTAAGGTGGGTGGGACGAAAGGTTATCTGGTGTGGGTTAAGCCATGGATAAGAAGTCGGATGTGGTGTTCGTGCCGTTAGATCCCCACGGACAAGTTGTGAAATCTCAGTAAGTTCACGGCAGCAATTTAGCCAGTTAACCAGGAGCCAGACGCCATTTAAGCCAACAGCTGTTGGAAACATTGGAACACCTGCCAATAAAATGGCCATTACAATCTTAAAAGACACAATTTAATGTTAAATACAAGTCTATTGTGTAAACAAAGCCTGAAACAATTCCTGCTCCTCTAAATTGAGTTAGATGATTGACAATCAATCCCAAAAGGTAAAAAGAAATATGACTATACCCCTGGCTGTAACGAGACGTCCCGAACGAACAATACCTCCGTTTTACAACTGCAACCTACCGTTCGGGATTCAGTGGGCTCCTTACGCTCCTAAAACAAAACAAACGACGTGAGGGTTTGTCACAATACACTGTGCAAGGAGCGCTGCATGGAGCTGCAGCGGAAGACTTACTGAACTGGCAGCGCGCTCCGTAATAACCTTTTTTGCAGTTGCATGTGTCTTTCTGTATGCATTTGCCGCCGTTCAAACATCGTTCGTGACAAATGCCTGAAACATGGCAATCGTATTAATTGTAGGCATCGAATATTCGCTCAGTCGTTTACGCACCAGTGAGGTGATGTAATGGAACTGTTGCCTAACGCAAAATGAAGAAGCAGTCGCATTTTTTTCCTGTATGATGTGAGGAAGTATTACACCAAAAAGAAGCGCTACTTATAAACATCACGAAAGTGTGAGGCAGGTCAGCTGAAACATCTGCGCCCCTAACCCGGTCTAGAAGCAACGATTTGTTAGAAAATATTATAAAATGTGACCTCCACGGCGCAAACATCATAACATACCATACATAGTATCTTGAGACAAATACAAACATCTAACAAACCTTACAAAACTAACAATTCCGCTCACGATTTTGGACTCAATTTCCTGCTTACGCCAATAACAACAAAATACAGGAGGAGCTTATAATGCACTGTGGTATCAAGTATTCGATGCAGGTT